ATGCTTGACCAATCTGATAGCCTTCTAGGATGGGATGACTGGCTGGGTAGATGAGGGGAGAGCAGTGGGTGTTGTCTCCGTGGACTTCAGCAAGGCTTTGGACACTGTCTCCCATCACTTCCTCCTAGATAAACTCAGGAAGTGTGGGTTGGATGAGTGGACGGTGAGGTGGATTGAGGACTGGCTGAACTGCTGGGATCAGAGAGTTGTGATCTGCGGCACAAGGTCCAGCTGGAGGTCAGTCACTAGTGGTGTCCCCCAGGGGTCTATACTGGGGCCAATGCTGTTTAATATGGTCATTAATAAACTGAATGTTGGGACAGAGTGCACCCTCAGCAAGTTTGCTGATGAGACTAAACTGGGGGGAGTGGCTAACACACCAGAAGGCTGTGCTGCCATTCCGAGGGACCTGGACCGGCTGGAGATCTGGATGGAGAGGAACCTCATGAAGTTCTACGAAGGCAAGTGCAAGGTCCTGCACCTAGGGAGGAATAACCCCATGCAGCAGGACAGGCCGGGGGTTGACCTGATGGAAAGCAGCTCTGCCGAGAAGGACCTGGGAGTGCTGGTGGACAACAAGTGAAGCATGAGCCAGCAGTGTGCCCTTGTGGCCAAGAAGGCCAATGGGATCCTGGGGTGCATTAGGCAGAGTGCCTCAGCCCTTTGCCACATCAAGGCTCTGTGTCAGGATGAGACAGGGATGATGAAGATTCTGCTTCATTCCACTTGGTCTGGGATCCCCAGAATCATCCACCTGTTTTTTTTTTTTAACTGCCCTCGAAGTATTCCAGCCATTTCTGCAGGTGTATAAGCGCTCAGTATTTGGGGCTGGGGACATTTCCTAATGCACTTTAAAGTGTTATTCCTTCTCTATAGTTTGAAAATAGCAGCTACTGGATGTGGTGATATTTAGACTGCGGGAATACTTCTTTTTCCCCAGGAAGCTAGATGAAGTCATTCCCAACCAAGAATAGTACAACTATCAGATAAGTATGTCAGGTTCTTCACTCCCTCCTGTATCAATACATCCTGCAGAATAAAGTAGAGAGAACAGCTTGTTAAGTTGTAGGCCCCAATTCTGAATTCATTTTCGGCAAAATCCTCTAGGCCAGACACTTTCAACTCTGTTTGACACTGTTGAAACTGCTCCAAGCAGTGCGCCTGGTTTCCTTGGCTGTTCTACTGATAAGGAATAAACAAAGCATGATCAAAATATTTGATGAAACTTTTAAAATACGATTTATTTTAGATACGATTTATTTACATTCTTCGTCTATCACCTTATGAACTAGGTGACAGTGCACAGAACTGTCTAATTTTCCATATCACATTATAACGTAATGAACAGCAAAGAACTGAACAGAGATTTGTTTTCCATACTTTTTTTTACATATTCCTTACAGGAATCTCATTAAATTCTCAAACCTGATGGAATCATTTCAGAACCAAAAAAAAAGACTTCCTTTGTTTTCAGTAGCAAAAACTCACTTTTTTCCTTCCTATCTGGACTGTACACAGCTGTGTTCCATTGCCCTCTAGTGGATCAAGTTAAATTTGCCTCTGATTATCTTAGCTTATTGGCCTTCTATGACCACCTCCAAAAGCATAAAAATCATAGTTTTTCTCGCTACCCTAAAGGATATTCTCCCTCAGATGAGGGACCAGAAGTCTGTGCTGTCTGGCATGACAGACTCTGAAGCCTAAGCCATGTTCCCTGGGCAACAGTTAGATACGGCTTGTTTCTTTTTGTGTCCTGTACTTTATCTCCATCATTGCCATCATGAATATGCCCCTTTCTGGACTGCCTGCTTGCACCATTGATCAGTATTTTAGTGTAACTAATTTTTTTCCCCTCTAAATGTGGCTACAAAGAAAGTTCTAGGCTTTTGACAAAAAGCAATTTCTTTCTTACAGTCAACCTCCCTGATCCTGGTCACTCCAATGTTCGCTATGAGCTATCCGTTCTCAAGGACTTTT